CTGGACTGGAAAGGATACGGTATTAACATCAATGGCGAGTACATCACTCACCTTCGATTTTCCGACGATATAGTCCTTATGGCAGAATCGCTGGAGGACCTAAGCACCATGCTCAATGACCTAAATAGTGTCTCCCAACGAATAGGCCTTAGGATGAACATGGAAAAAACAAAGATCATATTTAATGTCCATGTCACACCTATGCCGGTAGTTGTTGGGAGCACTTAGCTCGAAGTTGTTGACGAGTATGTTTACCTGGGACAAATAGTCCGACTAGGTAAGTCCAACTTCGACCGAGAGGTCAATCGACGGATTCAACTCGGCTGGGCAGCGTTCGGGAAACTACGACCGACACATCTTCTCGTCAGACATACCTCAAAACCTTAAAACGAAATTGTACAACCAGTGCGTGTTGCCATTGATGACTTACGGATCTGAGACGTGGTCCTTCACTGCTGGCCGTATGAGGAAGCTCAAGGTCGCTCAGCGAGCTATGGAAAGGGCTATGCTCGGGGATTTCTCTGCGTGATAAACTTAGAAATGAGGATATCCGCAGTAGAGTAACCGACATAGCCCAACGGATTAGTAAGCTGAAGTGGCAGTGGGCCGGCCATATAGCTCGAAGAACCGACAACCGATGGGGAAGAAAGGTTCTTGAGTGGCAGCCTTGTACCGGCAGGCGAAGTGTAGGGCGATCCCCTACGAGATGGAGTGACGACCTGGTAAGACATGCAGGAAGTCGATGGATGCAGGTGGCTCAGGACCGTGCTTTGTGGCATTCCTTGGGGGAGGCCTATGTTTAGCAGTGGACTTATGAAAGGTTTTAATGATGATGATGATGAAGACTGTATTCATTGTTTGGTTGATTATATTTCCAATTAAATATGAATGAGTATATTGTTTATGGGCCACCACGTTTAGCTGGCGTTTTGAGGATCGCATTACCAAATGTCTCACATTTTTCCTTCGCTGATCTGGGATATTTAACATCTGGTATATATTAGATGATATTCCGCCATTTACCGGAGGCATAAGGTCTTTTGACCTTGTAATGGTCGCCTATTACCACATCCTCTGGCTTAAGGCCAGCGTGCACCACGAGACTTTTTACATCACCACCTCACGCATGATCGCTGCCATGGCATACTTAGTATTTAAGTTACTTAGGAAACAATTTATGCACCACTAAATTGTGATTATCAGAATAAATTAAGGTCTAATACAGTATTACCCTTTACCCTTTACAATATTTTAAGTCCGAAATGTAATTAATTAAATTCAATTTGAACGGAGTAATTTATATTATTTGAATTATTCGACTTAGGGCCAAGTTTTCAATACTCAGTTATTTTTATTTTTATTTTGAGGAATAATAATTTAAAATTTAAAATTTTGTACAGCCGACTTCAATCTAACTTATTAAGAATAACTCAATAACTATTGGTCTGACCTTGATCAAATTTAAAGACATATGGGACCACACGAGCAGTATCAGCTTTGAAATAAAATAAGAATCATTGAAATCGGTTCACCCAGTAAAAAGTTATGAGGTATCACACAGAAAAAAAGAAGCATACAGTCGAATTGAGTACCGTCTCCTTTTTGAAAGTCGGCAGAAAAGAAACCACACGGTGCTAAAATTAGTCCTGTGAGGAGGTATGCTATGCAACATCATCCTCACGCGAAGGTTTATGCCTAAAAACATGTGGACGCATCCCGATCCAATCTGCAATCCGCAGTTCTCTCCAATCTGCAGTTAGTCGAACGTACTGAAATTTGTTTGGTATACCAGCGTTACACGGTTGCCTAAGAAGGACCTATCTATAAACGCCATTTGAAGCCTATCAAATGATTCCTCCAATTTTAGGCAACATTCGAAACCGTAAAAATCAGCGTACGATAATATTCCCGACGCAGATCCATTACACAATGAAACAGGATATTTCAATTTAGCTGGTAAAAATGTGAGTGGAAATTGAAAGTGGAACATTCGTATTTTTTACTTGTAAAAATCATTGCATTCACAAAACGTAATAATCATAACTGGTCAGTGATTTATACAAAAAAAAAAACTGTGTGCCTTAAATGTTTACTCGGCATTCTTTTTTATAGGATAAGGGTGTCAAACGAGCACACAGTGAACCTGATGGTAAGTGGTTGCTATGGGCCGTAGACATCTACATCTATCCTCGATTAAGAATCAAAATGCAGATGCGTTGTCATCAGTGAGGACTAACATGGAATACCTCGTTTCCTGTAAAAAGGGTATCCGGTTCTCTACACTTACGCAAGTATTTTACGCTGGTATTCTGTGAGAACGTGGTCCTTCTCCGAGTCGAGCCGACCCATTCGTGCTACAACTATACTACTAATAATATAGCTGCAGCATGGCTCTACCGAGTATAAAATAACACAAAAATAGGGTTGTATACTACAAATAAATAAGCGCATATAAATACACCTACAAAATTCGCTGAAATGTTTCCACAACAGTAACATCGGAAATAAGAACAGGATGATCGGAATTCTCCTGAAATGAAGTCCTTATTTTATATGCCTTTGTTCTATTTTTGCGGTGTTCAGGATCTTATTTGAAGATTTAAGTTTACGATCATTGCGGTTCAATTAATCCTAAAGAAGAGGAATCTTTTAACTCGATTAAGCTAGATTTTTCCCCAAGTTTGCGGATCTGCTACTTATAATTCAGCTCATTAGCTTTAATCATCATGTTCAAGGTCGGGGAAAAAGTTTATTCGTATTTTATATAGGTACAAATTCAAGGCTTGTTTTTTTTTCAAGGTTTAATTATATTCCACTTTTCCACAACTATCAAACAACGCCATCTAGTCCCAAGCTAAGCAGAGCTTGTGTTATGGGTACTAGACAACTGATAAACATACTTATATATTTCTAAATACATAAATATTATAGATAAACTACACCCAGACACAGAACAAATGATCGTGCTCATCACACAAACATTTATCCTGGGTGGGAATCGAACCCACGACCTCCGGCGTAGCAGTCAGGGTCACTAACCACTAGACCAACAGGCCAGTTATATTTAATTGTAATGTATACGTGCCATTTTTTTCGATGTCTTCTTTTTTTTGCCATCTTGTAGGTACTGACATAATTCCATTGCTGTAGAAATCTTGAGATTTTTGATCAAAATAATGCGACAAGTAGTTTTGACAGTCCTCTTTTGATTTTAACCCAACACTACCCAAAGAATTCTAATGAGACCGAAACAGGTGAAAATTTGAGGGCGCAAGGTCAGAACTATATGGTGGATGCATTAATACTTGCCACTCATTAGTTGTTGACAGTAGAGATTCGAATCGATGGTTTTGCCCGGCAGTAAAAGCTCATAATAAACGATGCCCTTCCAATCCCACCTTAACATGCAGCATCACCTTATTGCGTGCTCCACAGACTTTAGCGAAACCCAGATTTCGCTACAGTCTGTGGAGCTTGATTACCCTTTGACCATGATCTTTTTCGCACGTTCTTGTCGTAGGTAATCCACTTTTCATCACCGGTTTCATTACATTTCGATAAAGAATCGCAAATGAGTACACGATTCATTAGATTACTTTCAGTGAGCTCGTGTGGTAATCTAATATCGAGCTTTTTTGTACAGCCATACTTTTTCAAATGGGTGAAAACTGTTTTATGGTTAATCCTTAATTCCTCGACTATGTCGTAACTATTAACTATGTCGTCTTGCTACACTTTTTCAAAAATGACATCGACTTTATCCGTATGTAAGCGACCAGAGCGAGCTTCATCTTTGACATCAAAATTCCCGGAATGAAAACGCTTGAACCAACTTTGTGCTACTCTTACTAAAACGCATTAGGTCCTTGAACAGTCTCATTTTTTTACGCGGCTTGAGTCGCATTTTTCCCCTTTTTCTTTTTAAAAAAACTTCAGAATGATTCGAATTTCTTCGTTAGATTCCACTCATTTTAGAAAAACAATTGAAAAATGGCGGGAAAGTGTTTTTTACTTTTTATTTTTCTTTTTCTCAATGTCCTATATGTATTGATATTAAAACTAGCCAGATACAAACAGTACAACCAAAGAAATTTTTCTTCAAATTTATACAAACAAAATAAGAAGAAAATTTTTGCCTGGCCTATTATTAAAATTTACTGTTATTTTACTTGCGTAATCCTAATATCATCATCATCATCATTACAGCCCTTCACAAGTCCACTGCTGAACATAGGCCTCCCCCAAGGAATGCCACAAAGCACGGTCCTGAGCCACACTCTTACGACACCCACGGGAAGATATGGGGTAGTGAGTATTCTAAGCCGCCACTACACGGGGAATACTAATAACAATTAATAAATAAAGACCGCGATTGCTTACCTACCTGCCAAGCGTGGCAACTATGGCAAATATCCCCGCTAGCAGGCAATCAATGTGGTTTATCTTCAGCTGTGGATAAACGGTTGCGGTGACGGTGATTTCGCAACGTCATTTTTTTTAAAGTAGGAGTATATAATATCTTTTTTATGATTCATTGTCAATGTTCCTAATGAAACTAGTATAGTTGTTCAAATGCATAATGAAACTCACATGTTAGCTGTTAGCAGCATATAATGATTATAAGTAACTCTACATGATATTGACAAACTCAAGTTGTGCACGCTAGCTAGAACTTAGACTTCGTCTTATTATGGACCTTCTTCATATAAACAGTTGTTTTTAGCCTCGCTGCACAGATAATGACGTGTGATAGTGAGTCTAGAATAATCATGCTCTGAATATCCGGAAAATTATTTTCTTAGTAATTACCATCACAATCAATAGTCACATCCCCATTGCCAAATTCATTTGCATTTTACATTACTGAGATTTTCAGTAATTTTTTTAGCATTAATGTTATTTATTTTATGTATGCACCTATTTAAAATTTTATCGAAAATGATATTTCTAGTAGTTTTATAATGTATTAAATAAATTAAAAACTATATTTTTGTTCACAGATTACGCTATCTTCTACGACAATTAAACAGAGGTGAAATACCAGCTGAAACGCTACAAAAGAATCTTCAGTATGCCGCTAAAGTCCTCGAAGCCGTCTACATAGATGAAACCAAGTATGTCCAATTCTATGTATTAATTTTGTTTGATGTTGTTATATTAGTTTTGAATAAAAGGAGTCGATACCGTTGATACCGTAGCTACTTAACTACACAGCTAACAGCTATACTCAAACTTAATAGTTTTTAACAAATATGTTACTCAAAATTAAATTCTGCTATAACCTTACCGTTGATACAAAAAACGGTTATGGTATCATAATATATACTAATTTCTCAATCGATATAATCTTATTTTTCGTAAATAAAGATAGTCGTTACTCCATTTTTCTGCTTCCTTTGTGAAGTGTAACACATAAGGAATATGTTTCATCTTTTAATTTTCCACAGTTTCCTTATTATATTTCATATAATATAAATTTTGTAAGATAGCGTTATATTTTTTTTACACACTTACGTTATACATTACTTTGAGAGATTGAACAATATTTTTTCTTAAGTGTATGATTATCTAAGGTATACTTGGTCCATCATGTTAGTAATGAAATAAGGAATTGTTTCATTATCTTTGTGTTTCAGATTCCTAGCCGTCTTGTTAAAATACGTCGGAGATTATATTACAATTTCATTTATTTGATTAAAGTGCTTACTAAGGCTCATAAAATTTATTTTCTAGAATTCTTATCTTACATGCTTGTGTAGGTTTCCATCAATTTTATTTTGTTCGTTTTATATCGTTTTATTTCAATGTTGGAGTATTTCTAAAAAACGGGTAATGCTAAAGGGAAAATGAAGTACAATTTTCCATTTATTGGAAAGCTTATGTGACATTTATATTATAGATCAAATTTTGTTCAGTTGTGTTCTTAAACATTTTTTTGGAGATATCAATTTAATTAATATGACTCAATATCTATTTTGTTCTAATGAAATTAATAATCTGAAAATATCACACTTAACTTTCTCCGGCTTAGTATGGGTGTGATACTGCGATACACATGTCTATTGTTTCTTTACGATTTGTTTGAGATTTCAGAAATATTGGCGTTTTGTAACGCCAATATTTCTCCATGAAATATTATTTTTTGATTTATGTAATTTTTTTTTAATTTCGTAACTTTGAAAATAAATATTATCTAAATACAAAATTCCATCCAAATCTTTACAGCAGTTTCTGAGAAAACAATTACGTAATATGTATAAATAAATATACAAAAATTATTCACTTAAATATTATATAAAGTACGCGGGCGACGGGACCGACCTTTGCTCGACGTTAGAAAAAATATTTATCTTCAGAAATTAAACCTACTTATCTATAAAAACTGGTAAAGTAAAATATTTCTAAGTACAAATTTTCATCCAGTCTATTATAAATAGATATATTTATATGTAACGGCGGTGGCGACGAAGAGTAAATTTACTAAATTTTTAAATTAATTTGGTTGTATAATGATACCGATCTGACTCATAGTTAAAAGTGTGCATAACGCCGATAAAATTACATTTGTTTTATAACTGACTATTCATCAGTTGAACAGTGTGCTCGTTTATCATATACTACCTAACTTTAATTAGTTACTAATGTGTATATATGTCTTAATAATTAATATATCCTATATGTGTACTATAGTCTTTGCATCATAGCATGATGCGGGTGACAGCTCACGCCTATGTTGTTTCGTATTTTTTTAGATAAACTATCAAACAGCTATTGTTGTAATTCATGGATGGGTACCGCCCACTTACGACAGCGATGTGTCACGCTAAATTATGCCATGTCATAACGAACAACCACAGACTATCAAAAATCGGCTTTGACATAAATCGAATATATAAAAATCACGTAAATATGTATTGGAATTGGAACTAAGCGTTCCACAAATTCTGACTTACGGAAACAAAAATCATTTAGACGAATATGCAGTGTTTCCGATGCATGGAGGATAAATTATTCGTTGGTCAGCTCAGGCAAAAAAAATAATTATAAATCAAATTACGCATTGTGTCAAAAAACCTTTATTATAACTCATGGCGGCCAAAATGGCTACAAAAAACCATTTTTTTATGTTTATTACATTAGATTTATAAACCAAATTCTTATTTTTACCTTATAATTATTTTTACCTTCCGTCCCGATATTTGGCTCATTGGACCTGGCAAAACTAATACACATATAGCAAAAGGCGCTAGCACTCGTACCTCGAAAAGCTGTCTGCAGTCTACACCTTACTGAAAATTACAGTTGCATGATGCAATCAACATGAAATAGATGATTTTTATTTTCAAATTAATACATAGTACAATCTATACATTTAAGTATCTGTTTGTAATATCAAACAGCATTTTACTAAATACATATGAAAGTATACACGGTATTTATAACAAAAATACAAAAACAATTTTAAAATGTTTGTCTTACTGTCTGTTTGTTCCGGCTAATAGCTGGCACTGACAGATAACTGATGTTATAAGGAGTAACACAGGCTAATTTTATTTTAGATAAAACAATTAGGATTCCGCGCAAAAAAAATTTAAACTCATGAAATCCAATCGTACTAAATACCAAGCGGGCGAACTCCGGGAACAGCTATTATGTAACTATTATGTCATAATTTGTATTAAACTTTAACTTAATTTTACATGCATTGAAGTTTATAAAGAAATATATATTTCGGTTTTAGTTTTTATATCGATAGCTAATCGATACTTTTTGCTTTGCTTTGTGTATCGTGAATCGTGAATCGCCTTTTTTAAATCGATTTAACAATGGTTCATCTCTAGACACGCCAGAAGTGTAAGCTGTCACCCGCAGCATCATGCTATAACGCAAAGACTAATCTAAATCTAAGCTAAAGCCTCAGTAAATAATTCACCCAATTGTGCAACGTTATCAACCTTATTTGTCGAAAATACCGTAATAGCCTACCAGCCTGTATATGGGGATATTTGCCATAGTCGCCACGCATTGCAGGTGGGTCGGCAATTGCAATTTTTTTTTTTTCAGTTGTTATTAGGAAGTTGTTGCTGTCCATCACCTGGTTTTCTCTGTGTCGCCTCTTACGACACTAACGGGACGATATTGGGTGGTGGATTTTCTTACACTGCCACTACTAGTATGGTTAACTTACATTATACTGGGTGGCGATTAGGTTATCACATTACATAATACAGCGGTATATATACGTTCATATATGTCGATTAAAATAATAAAATAAACAATTCTACCAAAAATAAAAAATCCGTCTGTCAAACAAAATAAATAGCTTAAAACCTTGATAATATTAGTTTACTGACCTGAAGTGACATGTAAATGCGGCAACGGTGCGGCAGGTACGCGGTGCTCACGCGGCATTTATATAATTATTTACCTACACTGTCCCGTTCATAGGTAATTAAGGAAAAAACGAAAAAAAGGGCTACTGCGACTAGAATGTTAATTGTTTTACATATTTTTTAGTTGTGTATGTTCAAAACGTTATGTAGGATAACTCTTTTCATTTAATGTAATAACTTTATCGCCACCCCTTATTTTTTAATAAAGCTTCTTTAATGCAGGTGTAGCGTGGCTCGACTGCTGTGTTTCGTATGGTGAGCGTAGATATAATTCTTTTTACTGGAAAAGAGGCATTCCATCTTAGTGCTCACGGGTAACAACGCATCTACATATTGATCTTTTATTGATGATAGATGTAGATGTCTATGGGTCACAGAAACAACTTACCATCAGGTGGACTATGTACTCGTTTGTCACCCTATACTATAAAAAAAGATGTGAAGAAATTAAAGTGAATGAGAGATTTAATTTTGACGCGAATGAACAAACTTAATGATTTAATCCTATTAACCTCTTAACGATTACGATGTGGATGTTCATTTTTATTCTACCTAGTAAATCTCAAACGCAATTTATTAGTCTGACTCATGAAACCTGATTTATATGTAGCACTTAAAACTTTACAGACAATCAACACATGATTTCTATTTGTTTCCGCGGTAATTGCATTGCTGCAATGAACAAAACAATCCTTATTTTATTTAGTAATAAACCAAACTCATTTTTAAAACACATTCGATACTGAAATAAATTTTATGGTGCCGGCTGACTAAATAGTTTTTAAGTTGTTTGCCAAATACACCAATTTTTTTTTATTATTAATGAATTTTAAAGGAATAATTCAGTAACTGAAACGGAACGTTTATTAAAAAAACATAAAAAATTTAAAATAGCGTGATCTCGAAGTCGACAGTAAAGTCCAACAACTCTCCGCTTCACGTTCGAGTTATGCTTAGTTTTCAATACCAAAATTTTCTTTTTTTTTAACTTTACTTTATATACCATCATCATTACAGTCAATCACAAGTCAACTGCAGAACATAGGCATTCCTTGATATATACATCGTGTAACAATTTTAAAATATATCGAGAAAAAGCTCAAAACAGCCAATTTTACTCTCATGACACGTTAGTAGGGAATTAGTGTGTTAATTATGTGTCAACAATCTGAGAAAACACTGCGTTTCTTTCATAATTTGCATAAGAGTTAGCTTATTTAAAACATTTAAAATTAAGATGCAAAATGTTTTTAAGATAAATTTTATTTTCTTGTAAACTTCGTATCCGTGCTGTTAACCATGATGTAGTGGCGGTGTAGAATATCCACATTCACATATCGTCTCGTGGTTGTCGTAAGAGGTGACATAGGAAACTGAAACAGTAGATGGGCAGCACCATCTTCCTGATTGCAACTCAAAATTATCAAAAACTGTGGTTGCCCTCCGTCTGCCGAGCGTAGGTACTATGGAAAAATCTCCCCTATGGGGGAGTTCCCAGCAGTGGACTTTAGTAGGCTGTAATGAATGGATGGGTGTAAACGTCCAAGCAAAGAGACCATAATATGGGTCTAGCACACTCCCAAAACGCTGCCGCACTTCGGCATTATAAACAACTTTAAAGCAAATAGGTCACTTAAATGGTTGACAGGTGCGTATAATGAAGCCTAAGTTTTTATAAGTTCTCTCAGTTATTCGATCAATGTGATTGGACTGTTGCATTTTACTATCGAAGTAGAACTCCTTAAGTCTCGCACCAGCTGGGGCCGTTTCTAGTAAAATGTGATTAAAATTGTAAAA